CAACGAGGCTTTATTGGAGCAGCCACATCGGGCAGCACATTATTTTGGAGATTCTATCGTGCAACCGATGGGAGGAGCTCAAGCAGTTCCTCCATGTCAAAGACAACATCATGTTTGTTCCCGTTGGTCACCCATCTCACGACAAGCTGCACAAAATCAGACCGCTTCCGGACATGCTGAATGTGTGGGTGTGCTTGATTCCTAGAGAGGAGCATCTTGCGATAGATGAGCAAATAATCACGACGAAAGAAAAACAGTACAACATTGAAGTGTTTGTTGGCACTCAGAACAACATTGTACCAGTTGGATGTCCAGACCTCGGTGCTAGCGGCAACGTATAGTCTCGCGACTGTGCAAGACTGTTCCTGAGCAAAAGAACCCCAAAATTGTTTTTGACAAGTGGTTGACCAGTGTGCCACTTGCAATTCAACTCGCCAAGAAAAGCTTGCTTCCTTCAGGAACAGAGAGCAAAAAGATTGCCTGGGTGCAAGATACCACAAGAAACAGAGATGAAAGCCAACGGACGTGGCACCACGACTGAATGAACCACAGCAATCGACGGGTGTTGATGTGTGTGTCGTGGCGTGGTACAAGGTGGTGACACTTTGTCTCTACTCAGTGTCACTAGTTGTGCGCAGTGCAGGCGAAGGCAACACCAGGCAAGAAAGGGCGAGCACTAGGAAGGCAGGACGGGAAAGGAGGATGAGGGGAGAAAGGGAGGGCACTAGGAACGTTAGAGAGGAGGTTTCTCTCCTTCCCAGCCTTCCTAGTGCTTGCCCTTTCTCCCCTCGCCTGGCATTGCCTTTGCTTGTACTGCACCCAACTAGAGACATGGAGTACACCCATGTAGGAAGTGAACCAATGGCTGAAGCGGAGGGTAGGACAAAAAAACAACACCTAATGGTTTTGTGCCCGCAGTCGGTTAAAATATTCAACAGCTACAGGGGGGAGTGTGCATCTTCCGGACTTAATGCTAGGGCTTTACAGAATTCAAACCAGATCAAAGCAGTGGTATTTCAAGATATTTTTTTCATATCCTAGATTTGACAGTAGCAGAGTTGGGCAGAAATACTCAAAAATGTATTTGGAAATACAAATACTGGGATACATTAAAATAGTAGCTAAAATACTGATACTGAAATATATCTGTAAAAATGTATCGCGATACATATCGGAAATACATTTCAAATAGCGGTAAGAAGTATTTGGAAATACAAATACAGGAATACATTTTAGGAAGGTCAGAAATACAAATACAGAAATACTGATACTGCAATACATTCTTCGAATTTGCTTGAGATGCCAAAACAGGTGAAGCTTGAAGTTGGAAGTGGAAGTTTTTGATCCCGAGATTACTTTCCTGTAGGCATGGCACTATGCCTTGAAGGAAGTGGTTTCGAACGGCTAGGAGTCTTCAATGGAGTCAAAGGAAACGTTCCATCTAGGACTGGCCGCAATCCCTTCTCTGACATCCTGTCTGTCTGACGAGGGATGCGAAAAGACTTCGACCTCTAAAATTCGATGTCACCCTAAATCCCACCAAAACGTCACAACGCCCCTGACCAATAAGGATGCCCCTGTCAACATTGATCACATGACGTCACGGCGGAATGAACTCGTATTCTTTATCTGTTGGTGTGGTCTTAAGCATGAAAATTTACCACGCTGTTGTATGAAAGGACAATGCATACTTTCGTTGTAGGTTATCTCGTTGAAGATTGTGCAGGCAGTGTCATTTGAAATTTTTGAGAATAGTGGACCACCTGAAGCATCCTGAAACACGTCTTATCGTCTGTTACGGCTGAAAAAACGATACGTTAGCATCCATGTTGCGAAGGTCCTTTCTGCCGACCCTCCGCCACCGACGCATGGATTGCAGTCCTCAAGTCTCGCCTTGCATCATCCAAAGAGACCTCGTGGATTGCGACCTTATACTGCCGGCACAGGTACGAGCTCTCCGAGAAACAGCGCGCTTGAGACGAGTCGCAGCTGTACGGAGTCCGAGTTGGCACCGCGAGGCCACGTCTGGCCTCCTTTATGGGTTTCGGATCGTCAGAGCAGCGGGTCACGTTCACGTCGGCTGATCACGTACCCTTGAGCCGTGCAGTATTACGGGCGCAGACGCAGACACATTCGAATATGTGTTGAACTTCACTGCGTGAGTGATCCTACTATTTCAAGCCAACCACCGCCCGGCTCGTGCTGCAACAGACTGTGACTCAGCTTTTCCCGCTGGGTGAACTGTGTACGCTAAGGCAAGAGAGACGGTTAGCAGCGGGCTTTGGATCCCAGCAAACAATGACTCAAGAAATCCCTACCTAAGGACCTGAGGCACAAGATGCTCCGACTCCACTTCTGGCACGCCACCTGGTTCGAGTCCCCGACTACGCATTACTTCTCAGAAGAAAGACGAAGCATAGAAAAATAGTTCGGAAAATCGAAAGGAGCCTTTGTCAGCACACTAACAATGCCCCAGTACCACCTTGGCCCTGGTGCCCTCAGGAAAAAAAAAAGCGTCTGGATTTTTTTTTTTTTTTCAGAGGGGGGGGGGGGGGGTATATCTTAAGAAATGAAACGAAATACATTTCATCCTGATTGTATCGCGATACAAAGAAACATACCAAATGTATATCGATAGAGGAATACAGATACTGGTGAAAAAAATGTATCGCGATACAGAAATACAGATACGAAATGTATTTCTGAAATACTATCGCGATACATTTGTATCGCGATACTGCCCAACCCTGGGTCACAGTAGTAAACTCTTGGCTCCTCTGGAGGCGAAGGAATGGAAAAGGAATGCAGCTAGCCGACTTCAAGTTGTCTGTAGCTGAAGGTCTCTGCAAAGCTGGAAAACCTGCCGTGAGAAAATGACGGTGCCTGAGCAATGAAGTCGAGGCTCAACTTGTTGAGAAAAGTAGACATGGTCCTGGAGCTGCAGTGCCCTCACAGGACGTTCACCTGGACAAGACAGACCACTTCTCCCTTCTGGATTGAGACACGGGCAAGATGCAAGTTGCAGAGTTACCAGGCAAAATCATTCGTGGCATGTCAGAGATACAATGTTTCTCTCTGCTTGAACAAAGAGAGGAACTATTTCTTGAGGTTTCACACGTCCTAAAATTGTATGTTGTTGACACAAATCTGTCAGTTTTTTCTTCTAAACAATAAATATTTATTTTATTGCACAAACTGTATGGTAAAAATAAGTTTACATTTTCTCGTGGTTGCAATAAAAGTACACATACTGCATACTGTGAAATACTATATGGCACAAACTTAATTTTATAAATATCTCATGTTTATATTAATTTTCTAGACACATTTTAAGTTATGTTTTTATATTCACAAGCTGTATGAAATATACTTTTCTTGACGATGCAAGATAAGTCATGCGGTAAAGGGTTAATAGGACTTTGGAAAAAAAAACTAAGAATAGCCCCTTATACCTGGTTGCACCATGCACCATTCCCTCCCATCCCTCAAATTATAACCTAAAAAAAGTTTCAACGTGCGTGTGGAACTGGTTATAGTCCCCATTCAAACAAAGGCCGCCTACCTTTCGAGCGTGCTCATTCAAAACTTAAGAGGCATCGCGGTGTGTGGCTTGCCTCGGTTCGGCGCTGAACAAGTCGTGTCATCACGACGCGTGACAAAGCTTTAAAGGACAGGTGAAACAATTAAAAAAGAGGCAGGATTTCCTTCACGCATGCTGGAGGAGGTGTCTGGTATTTTACTAAAAAAAAATCTGAAGGGGCCAGGTAATTGGGCGCCACGGAAGAAATTTGTAAGACCGGTAGTGCTTCCATTCCTCCACAGCGTGACCCATAATGTTCAAAACGTCAGTATGATGTGCCAGTTGTTTTCAACGCTACTAGCAAATTCATACCGTTGTGCACGAAGGTCCGCTTGTCAGGAAAAGAAAATGCCATTTTTTCTTGTGGGAACACGTAAATCGTTTTGTCCATTGCCGTTTGGGTATTGTGTGTCTGCATTCCGCTCTCTTGTAGTAAGGCCTATGTGGGCCAAACAGGACGCTGTATTAACGACAGACTGAGGGAGCACTGCAACTCTTTGCAAGACTCAGGCTGGCCATTTAGCAGTCCACTGCGGCAGGTGTGGGTGCGCTCCCGTGTTTGAAAATACAAATATTTTAGAATGATTTAAAGAGCAGAGAGTGCGGGACGTCTGGAGGCTTTCAATATCAAAACTTTGGGCGATAGCTGCATAAGTCACTAGTCTCTTGCTTTTACAGATGCTGAGGAAGCATTCTTATCGGCAACAATGCCACAAGCACATTAAGTTTTTTTTTTTTACAGCGGAGCTGCTAAGGGCTAGGTTCCCCAGGATCGTGTCCGTGTATGTTGATACAAACCTACCTGGACAGCTACCGCCATCTATAAGCGACGGCGGCAGAAGAATGGATAGTTGGGTGCTTTGGTGGGAATTCATCGTAGGAAACAGCGCGAAAAACAGACAACAACAAAGAAGCACACAGTGTATAAAGTACAGCTCCGCTGGTCTTCCTTCTTCATGACAGTAGAAAGGCTGAAAAATTTTTTTTTTCACCCCCATTTTTTGATTATATTAGGAGGGTTATTAAACGGCGCATGTGCAGCCGATAAAAAGGCTTTTATAGTTTTATTACACTTTTAGTTGTAAGCACTTGTCTGTCGTAAGTCCTTTTCTTTGTCCTGGTTTTTGTGCGCTTTTTATTTCACCATGAACCACTACCAACAGTCCAGCTTTCAAGTTTCTCAAAAGAAAATTAACATTATGATTAAATATTTCGTACGCATACTCACGAGTGAATATTTAGTACATGGTAAAAATTTTTATAAAAATCAATGGCCATCAATATTTCTTCCAAGCTTCCTTTTAACAATTCCATCTAGTTGCGCTTTCATGATCCCCCATATTTGTTCAAATGTAAACATGTGAGATATTTACAAGCTAAGAGGTGTAAATGTCATCTGGATGCTAGGCAATACAATGTGTTCTAGAGGGCAGAATCATTGTTTATTTGAAATTATATCACTTATGTACACAAACAGAAACAATATTAAAACAGAGTGCATAGGCATATCATTTTCTTTTTAATTAAATCAAACATTGTCAACAGTACCAATAGCCAAAAAGAAAAACCAAAGAAAAAAAGCCTGAGATAACAAAGGTGCCAACATTCAGCATCTTTCTTTTTTTCATATTTGTTCTCAAGCTGATATTTCAAGAGCCCAACAGTTAAAAGCTTGAAACGCCCAACATGCCACATAAATTGAACGCTTTGAACAGGAAAAAGCAAACGGGTCATATAATGTTGCAAACTGCCACTCTTAAAAAATCACAGCCAGGGATTCTTTTTTTTTATTTTATTTTTACGAAGTGAGGGAAATACCGGGAGCAGAAGTTTTCTCGGATTCACATTCCCTCGTGTGTCAATAAGGCATCTACATTGATCGCTCACAAACAGAAAAACTTGAAGCGCGGGCGAGGTGGAATGCACCAGCTTGCCCCCAAACACTCCGCAGAATGATCTAAAACGCAATGCGCGTCGACCAAACAAAAGAATGAGTAACAAACAAACAAGACGCGTGTGATGGTCGGTTGTACGGAAGACATTGGCTATTAAAACAAGCTCCAAATGAAGAATGACACCGTCTTGCTCGGGAGTCCGCTTTGAAAGCCTGCGTCAAAACTCTAAAGCAATACTGGATGATTTCAGACTCGCATAAGCTAACTAACAATATAGACACTGGTTTTCCTCTCATTACACGACAGAGACCACTTTTAAAAAGAGGCAGTCCTTATTCTTTTGTGTTTTCAACACCGGGCGAGATGAAAAAAACAAAAAAACAAGACAATTGCAGTGGTCAATGGCGAAAGACAAGTCATGAGTTCGAGCTGATACAATGCAGAAATCAACATTTTAAAGAATAAAAAGAAGCACTTGTTTGAAGTCTCGGAAACAGCCATTACACAGTTCAAGCCTGAAGCATCATGGGTTTAACACTATTTTTACCTAGATAGTGTAGAAAGTGGCTTCCGCGCGGGAAGTTCCAATGGACAATAGTATTCTCGAGGTGCCATTCTCTGTAGAAGGAGTCACAGATGAGCGCTTTCTGATTCACACACATATATTATTAGCAATACCTATCTATTCCAACAGGTAGGTATTATCGTATATTATATACACAGTCCTAGATTGCTACAACATGGAAAGCTTAAGTAACGAGAAAGAAAAAAATAAAAGAGTCCGTCGGAATCAATGTTAACCTGTAGAAACGTCCAGCAACACTGAGCAGAAGGCGTGCTGGGAAACAAAGTTCTAGTTCTAAGATTGTTGTTTTCACAGCGCCTCACAAAAAAGCGCCCATAAAAAAAAGAATTCGTTGCTCTATGCACAGTTCATTCGTAATGTTACTGACAAATGGACTATGATAACCAAATTTAGTGGGGGAACCGTCGTGGCCGAACAGACATCTGAAGCGTGTGCCCGGTGTGGGAGACGTTTACGGCAGGCGGACACGTTTCCAAAGCCAACTCCATCATCAAACGATACGCGTCGAAACCTCCGAGCGGGGCGGGGCTATCAAAGACAGATATCACGTCAAAGCGAAGCAATCTTGTTGCAACAAAAAGGAAGGTGAAAAGAAACTCTTTTGCGGATATTCTGCAACTGATAAACGGAGGCTACAGAGATCGTAGCAGGCCGAAATGTATGGGGGCTTCGTACGACCGGGAGCGGAAACCAGATAAGCAACAACCTCTTGCCGCAAGGAACAACTGCTTGCTATGTATGTAAAGGTAATTGGTACCCATGGAAAACGCCAAAGAGCCGCACATCATTTCTCCTCTCTTGCGGGCTTCCTCGAAGCGATGCTGGAAACGTGCAAGGCAGTCGAAGTGCGCTTGGGTTCCACGTTTACGCTTCCACAACCGTCTCTGGCAGACGCAAACAATCAACAGGAATACAGGATATGCTCAATTGCACTTTTCTTTCTTTACTTCCAAATGGTATATTTGCGCTCCCGGAGATGGATGGTATGGGCGCTTCTGTTTTAGCGGTCGACATGCGCAGTCAGATTCCGAGTAGTTCGTTTGTCATCAGATCGGAAAAGCGAAAAGAGACCACTGCATCTCGCGAAGCTTGGTGCACCATCAAAGAAAAAAACAATAGTAGTAAGAACGGGCGCACGTCCACAGAAACATGAGGGAACGTGCCGGCACTGCCAGCGATTAGATTGCCCTATAAGTGTCAACAATGGATTTGATTGGCTAAAACCGAGTATGAGGTGTTGGTGAGGGAAGAGGGGGCGGGGGCGCGAATCTGAGAAGTAAAAGAGAGCTCGAGCTTATAGGTACGCATGTATGCATATCGTATATATTTATTTATATACGTGTATATATTTACAGAGTTGTACTTATGTACAAAAAAACTGCTAGATCAAAGATAGAGAGAGAGAGAGCGAGAGAGAGGGACATTTACAGAATGTGATGCTGACAAGACACTGCTGCGCGCGCACCGGAGAAGTCGTACCTACGAAAACTGAGGATAAGACGACGCGGGGATTGCTATGGTGAAAACAACAGCAATTATTATTATTATTATTTTTCCTCCTTTCCCGCAGCCAACGTTCCAATCGTGCACCGATCGGCCAAAGGGCCGATCGGCACTCAAGGACGAGATGCAGTCGTTGTCTTTATTACCGTTCTGGTCGCTTATTCTGCCCGCGCTCTCTTCCTACGTGATGGCAACTGGCAGAAGAAGAGTGCACAACCTGATGGCAAGCCTTAGAGAACTAAACAAACAAAAAAACCATGTAGAGAATGCACACCGATTTAAATCCCCACGTAGACAAGAGATGCGCTGCTACGACGGCCTAGCACAGACATTTTACCGAGATAGAACCTGAGTCAGATCTGCTCCGCACGTTCCTGAACCGCCCACAGGAGTGCAAAAGAGAGCTATTGCTTGTGTTGCCTAGTACAGACCGTATTACAGCTTTCCGCCCTTTTTTTCCTTTACTCCTCCGTCACCAGCTTCCACACGGAATTATACATTATGTATAGGAGAATATATGTATATAGTCTGAAACGACAAGAGAATTCGAGGCAGTCCAACGCACCGCTAGACATCCATGCGCGCCTGTGTCCCCCCCCCCCCCCCCCGTTGGGTGGGTACACCAACTTAGCACCATTTCACAAAGAGTGACACACACATTTTTTTTTTTTCTCGGCAGACTCTCTCTCCCTTGAACTCAAGAACGCACGCAGAAGCCACGCGGAACGTCGGAGGAACGTTCCGGAGTTGAAATGAAGGACACGAACAACAAGGAAACGAAGAACAAACATGGGGCAGGTTAGAAATGCTCGGCCCACGGACGACGCAACGACCCGTCGGCGAGAGAAAGACGTGTAGGAAAAAGACGAGGGGTGAAGTAGCACTATTGACCTGACTGACGCGCCAATACGGTAAACAGGAGAGGCAGACGGGGAGATCTGTGATGTCACCAACGACGTCACTGGCAGTATCGGCTTGTGTTTGCAGCGACAACGAGAAGAAGAGTCAACCTTTTCTACGCGCTCGGGGACCGAGAAAACGAAAAACAGGCGCCTCGCCGGAACAGACCCGACACCTTGGACGAGTCCCGGCGACTGCGCGGTCCCCGGACAGGCGGTTGGCGCAAGAAAGAGGATACGCATGATTGTTGTGAAAGAACGTCGTTCAGGCGGACCCATTCGTCGGCAACCACAAAGCAACCTTCTGCAGTCTCATTCGGGGCTGCCCCGTTGAAAGTGACCACATGCACCACACCACAGACGGCCAACCGTCGTCCAACAGCTGGCCCATGGTCAACCAGCCACTGACCAACAGTTGACCGATGGTCATTCAGCAGCCGACCAATACTAACCAGCAGCTGACCAATAGCCGGCCAGGAACCGGCCAACAGTATGACCACGCTCCTTCCTCACCAACTCCTCAAAATTGGGGGTTGTTATTGCCAGCACACCAGTGGAAAGGAACGAACCAAACCAATATAGTCGAACAAACGCAGACACATCTACGGTACTCGCACCGAGGAACAGGACACTCAAAGGCCGCAAAACCGGGGCAGTCAACAACAATTCGCCTTCCACAGAGTCCCACCGAAATGAAGTCGAGCGCAACCGACAGTTCATCTGCAAGCGATTCCTCAAACGATGCTTACTCTGTGTACATACTAACGAGATTCAGTACTGGGAAGGTCCGTCCCCTTACCCCGAGTGACAGCGACTCGTTAAACTTCTGCGGGACTCTACGGCCTACCACGCCGCTTTCTATGCAAGCGGTCTACACACTCCTCGCTCCTCCCAACCGCCGGCAGGTGGCGCTACCGCGTGCATGCAGCCCCCTGGTGGGATCCGGAGGAACTACTCTTTGGGGTTCTTGCCGCTTTGCAGGACATTAGGTCTCCTCTGTCTCTAGCGTACGATGAAAACAACGAAAAAGCAGAGCTCTCCTCATCTTGCAGCGGGTCGTGCGGGAGTTCCTTGGGTCGGACACCAGATGTCACCGGCTGCTTTCCTCTCGACGTCCTTAGGACATGCCCAACCAGCTGCCCAGCGTGGAGACCAGGATGATGACCAGAATGACCACGCAGATCAGGATCATGATTTTCTTCTGCGGATGAACAAGACACCACTGCAGTCAACTGGTTTCTCTAGTCGCAAGAGGCTTTTAAAGCTTCATGTAAACCCAAAACAGAAGTCACGCTGTATTGGCCTTTTTGGCCCACCGAAGCATAAACACAAGCTTCCGCACTTTAAGAAAAAATGAACTTCCTGCTCTTCGAACATCTACAGAATCAATCAGACTTGATTCTGCTACAGCGCGAGAAGACTAGTACAGCTGCTGACCGATTTTTCGGACTTGCAAAATTTAGCGGGAAAAACGATGTCACATGACTTCGTGTCACATCACCCATGAACAAATCAATTTCTCCGCTAAATTTACCAGGGAATTGAATTCGTGTTGAGGTCACGTGACGTCAGTTTTTCCGCTAAATTTAGCGCGGTTACGCCGACGCCGCAAAACACGGAAATGGGTGCCTAGGAGGTGTGCTCTAAAAGGGTTTCGGGTCACAGTTCTGTTGATTTAAAAAAAGTATGAAATTTGTTTTTCATCAGAACAGAACATTTTTGCAAAGAATTACGAGATTTACCGCACTTGCCAACTTTGACGCGGACAGAGTTTGACATTTTTATAATGCTCCACTACCTCGCAATCCCAAGACCTCCGTGTGTCAATTGTGCAGCACTGGTCTAACCGCCAATTCACAGTTATAAAAAATAGTTATTTCCTTGAAACTATCAAAGCATTGAGACATGGAAAAAAAAAAGTGCATATCAACATTTACATACTACACTATTACTTTTCAAACAATATTTGAAAGCTAAATAAAATTTCAGGAAGCCAGAGCGGTAAAAAAAAGTCTTTGTTAACAAGCGGCTTAAAAATACCCGAATAAGGACGTTCTTAACCCGGAGCAGTGTGAAAAACACGGTAGAACTGAATTGACACAACTGGCTGGGTAAATGTGCTGCCTTGAAAGTGTATTTTACATCTCAATAAATGTGACACAACAGCTTCATTAGATGACTCAAGCACAGTACAGCAGCAGGGGATAATGAGCCCAACATGTTTGTGCTGCACAAGCTCAAAATCGGAAAGAACAAAGCAAAACTTGTCAGAACAAAAGGACAAACAAAACAAAAACAAAAAACCTGACTCACCGAGGGGAGACGCAGGTGCCGCTAATCTGCCACACGATGTCCAAACCAAACATCAGAAGAGAATGTCATGTTTGTACGAAACCAAATGAAGAAATACAGAAATTAAAACAACAACAAAAAGAGACAGTACCGTAAGAAAATAAAAACCACTTTAGCAAACCACATTCTTCATCACTCCATCAGCTGGTGGGATGGCCTCCGAAAATCAGAGTCCCCAAGTTTAGCGAAAACTAGTCGATTAGCAGGAAAGAGCAGAGAACTCTCTCAAATGTGTGACAAACAAAATTCAAAGGTAAAATAAGTTTGTTCAGAGACTTTACAACAAGTTTCAAACAACAGAGAATCGTCGGAGAAATGAGGTGGGAACCAGTTTTGCAGACATGTTTGACAGCACAAAGATACGAGACAGAGGCAGTTATGAAAAAGGAAGGCTTGTAATCCGTCAGTTTTAGTGCTCCAGCGAGGCTTTTGATCCCGTGTCAAATAAAGTACTGAAAGGAATGTAAAATTCATCTAAGCTGGCACTCCGGCATTACATGCTACAGAGGCAGATGGTAGTCAATGCTTCGAATATTCGCTAAATGCTGCGCGACTCTAGACCAAACCGCCAGTTCTTCTCCCAAGATTTTTTTACTCAGCCACGGTGATATTTCAGTCACAGAAAGTTCCACATTTACACGAATGCATGACTACGGTTTCAATTGAGATGTAAAAGTTGGGTCGTTATTTTTGGGTCAATCCAATATTTTGAGCAATCTATCTTGAGCCGCAACCCATTTTCAAAGATAGAAGTTTAACCCCAAATACAGCCAATGACACGCAACAGGTGTGTTTTGTGATTATCCGATTTACATGGCGGCATGTTATGTATCGTCGGCTTCTCCTGCACATCTCTACAGACTAACCAACGTGCAGCAGGTTCACGTTCCAAATAGGTGAAGCCCCGAAATAAAACGCGAGGCAGTAACCTCCTTGCTTCTAATCCATGTAAACATTTCGCATGCTTCAACAAGTAACACATAGTGTCAAATGTGTGTGTGTGTGAAAAGTGCGTCGCGGGAGTGCGACCACGAGCATGTGCACGCAAAAGTTAAATAAAACGCAATGCCACATTTTTTTTTTTTTTTTTTTTTATGACTCGCTTTTTTATGTTTGCAGATTTGATCCTTTCTTGGCGTCACGCTACACACCACAAATGCCTCGAGAAGAGAGTTCCGAGGCCCCAGCAAATCACAAAATGGAAGACAGTAGGGTCGAGTCTCGAAGCCACAAACAACAAGAAGCTTGAGCTTTAAAACCAAAAACAACCAAGAAAGAAAAATGTATAAAAAACAATCATACAATTAAAGAGCATGTATACATATCAATAAATAACAAAAGCATTAAACTGATTTATGCACTCCTTCGGCGAGAGAGAGAAAAAAAAAAGAGAGCATATTTGCAGAGTTGACACGGAAGAGGACGAACAGGCACTTCGGGCAGAGGCGTTGTGAAACTTGTCCCGCCGCGGAACATTGCAGGACAACAGTGGCGCAATAACTGCCACCGATAAAAGAATACTCCTCCGTCGTATAGGAACCGTTAACGTCTCCACCTACACAAAGGCAAGCAGGGGCAAACCCTGGAACCAGTTGCGAGTAAAAAGAAAGAGAAAGAGCTCACACAAGCAGAGTCATTGTTCCCCCAGCAGCACTTATTCGGCAAATATAAAAGCCCGAAACTTCCGAGCTTTTACCGAGCGGCCAAAAGCGTGTCTAGTTGTCTTCTTCTGTCCAACAATGGCCCGACCGATGAGTTTTCCGGCTTTCGGAAGGGAACGAGAGGCGGTTCGTTCCAAAGCACCAGATTGCACGGAGAGGTAAAGAGAGATCGGCTGGCCCCTTTTTCACTGGTCGGCGGCGCGGCAGTGTTCTCGAGATTAACCTCGAGTTGAGCGACGCAAAGGCATTTGGAAACTGGTTTCCGCGAGGGTCCTCGAACGTCGCCGTTTGGCAGCACAAAGAGACGACCGGGCAAACGATCGCCGTGGCGTTCCCTTCCACACGGCGCGCACCCCGATTCTACCCGCGCTCCGTTTCGCCGCAAGTCCAAGCGAGGCCGACGCTAGAACTCCAACTGCGCCATTCTTTAACTATGCCTCCACTTCACGAGCGCTCAAATTGTCGCAGTGTCGCGGCTTCTCCTTCGCTCGCGCTCGTGTCAAAACGGGTTGCGGTAATGCGTCTGCCGCCTTTGGACTCCTCTTGACCGATCTGAAGACACGGCTCCCATGCTGACCAGCAGGCCCAGCCGCGCACGTTTCGACCCAAAAGTGAGTTACGAAATAATGCCGGTAACGAAGTAATCGCGAGCAAACCCCCCTTCCCCACGAAGCGAGACGGGCAAAAGGCACGGCCGGCGACGTTCTCGGCCGACGTGGAATTGTCCGACTAAACGCGAGCTTCGGAGGAGCGTGTTCAGGCCGCTTAATGCATCTGCAGTCTGAGCGTGCTCGAGTGGTAACCGCTTGATTCGAACCTGCGTACATATTTTTATCGTTTTTTACACGTCATTCTTTTATTTTGGGATCGAAATATTTCTGGCGACGCTACGAGAGACTATTTCTGATATAAGACGCGTAGAACCGACCTCGTAAACACTGCGAAGCGTTTAGTTACGTACGCGGGTCGGAAACGTTCTGGGGCCACCCGACGGACGGTGCCGATGCGTTAACCGGCGTCGCCCGTCGGGCGGCCCCGAAATGCTTCCGACCGAAGAAAGCAGCTCCCAATTTGCTTCCTCCTCTGCCTCCCCTCTCCCAATGCTGAAAAATGAAGAATTCGAATTGGTTTACGAGGGAATCTGACGCGAGTGAGCACACTCAAACCCCAATTGTGCGAACGAGCCTTTCCCCTACTTCAACAAAGACCTACCCCACAAAAAATTGTGCAGCCACATTTAAGGAAGACGTCTCCGTCGACGGAAGCCCTCTACGGTAGTATGGATCGAACCCAGCAACAGGAGCCTTCTTGTGGACCTTTCCGTTGGTAGCAGTGTTTGCCTCTCCAGACGGACGCTTTTACGACGAGTTTTTCTTTTGGCTCGCGCCGCACGTTCCGTCGCCTGGGGAGGATTGCTGGGGGTGGGCGGTCGTCGCCTTCCTTTCCGGAAGGATCTCGTCGAGCACTTCAGGCCAGGTTCACCGCGAGGATGATGATTATGATGACGACTATCACGGCCACCACGGCGATTATGATGATGCATTTCTGGACGACGACGCAGGCCGGGTGGGTGGGCAAGTCAGTCGTAATAAGACCAAAAAAAAAAAGTGAAAAGAAAAAAAATTGGGGGAAGAGGTAGGGGAGGAAAAGAACAAAAAGGTAAACGCAAAATGAGCAGAATGAAAACCAACTCAACAAACAAAAACAAAAATGAAAAAAAAAAAAGAATTTGAAAACAAGCATTTTAAGCACTGAACAAGCAATGCAATAATAATAATTAAAAATAAATAAAACTGGATGGAACATTTACGTATAATTGTTCCTACTTACAGTGTGTCCCCTGAAAAAATTTACGGGGATTTTTTCGCCGCAAAAATTAACGACACTTCGCCGAACGCTTGGCCCCCACCGAAACGTTGCTCTAGAGGTTCCAACCAGATGCCAAAGCTTCGGAATGAACCCTTAGCTTATTCAAAAGTCGTACGCGATTGTCTGAAAAATTTCAATGGGAAAATGGGGCCTATTCTTGGTGACTGGTACCATTCAGCTCCATGTATGTAGCGTCTCCCTCCGACCGCCATTTTCCCATCTAACAATTCAGGAACTCCCATAAACTTATAATAAGACGACGGTTAGATCTGAAGCATTTGCATCTGGCTTGGAATGCTAGCGCTATATCTGGGTGGAAAATGAGCGTTCGGTACCGCATGGTTTGCTACAGCGGTAAAAGAAACCCTGCACTTTTACTGCAAGAGTAATGCATTATCAGTTCTGCCCTTCTGCTGTAAGAACATAAAATCTGACTAAACAAACCTTACAGTAACTATAAGAGACCCCCATCAAAAAAATAAAGAAAAATGAACCCGCTATAAAATAAGGCAATTGCAAGGATTACCAGATGACTGCTACAATGTGGAAATGTGTATCCTGAAATTTAATCAAAGAACAATCCTATATTCTCTGTTGTAGGGGAATAGGAATTTTCTTCCCTGAATGACAAGCATATGAAATGGAGTATGAAAAGTGCATCCATCGATGAAAGACATAGAAATCAGTTGGACAGCTAATCAATTCAACGGTGTAAATGGCTGGGCTGAGGCAAGTGTAAAACGCACTGCCTAGCATTACGCCCGACGGGGCCCTAAATAAAAATTACGTCCTCCGACGTAACCCAAAATGAAAATTAAAGTTGCGTCCCACGGAACTCTACATAAAAATTAAAGCTACGTCCGATGGGCACGAAACAAAAGTTAAAGCGTCCTAACCTACGCAACCTCATTGAATGTTTCGCTTTATCGCCAATACATGACGTAAATACAAAAATAACGCAAATTATTACTGCGTTGCGTCCCATGCAGCATTCGCAGACCGGTTGAAATCGCGTCTACATCCATGCCTCCAGATATGTCGAGGCGGAAGCCTTGACATGGGCTCGATGCACGTCACATACATTTTTTTTTCCTTCTTTTTGTTCCCCTTCTTTGAGACGATTTATTGCGATTTCTTTTTCCAATGTGAATTCACTTCTTGCTATATGCGACACTCAAAAGAAAAGTGAAGTAACATTAACCAAATGAAAAATGAACCACCAACCCCCCCCCCCCCCCCCCCTTTTTATTTAAGCATTAGTTATGCCGGTTCGTAGCCCTTGCTGGCTTGTGCTGAGAGCAAAATTGATATGGCTAAGGGCAGAGGGTCTATCGTCATTCTCACACCTGGGCGGCTTCCCCAAACAGCTCTTTATTTAGACAATCTAAAAGAAAACACTGCCAAATCTAGCGCGCATGGTGACTTGAGTGGTACGTGAAGATTATGCCAGTTTTCAACAAGTCTGCCGGAAACTCACCTGCTCTAAACAGAACACGTCCATATCCCATTACCATTCTTTTTCTCTTAGTAATCGGTTTGAACGTTCACGAGTGCTCACAAGGCGTTGCTGGCATAGACATCAAGCTCAAGGTACTTTTTTTTTCTTTTGTTCAATTTTGTGTTTTGCGGGATGTAACTTGAATTTTTTGCTTCGAGTTTTTTCATTTCATTTCATTTATTGTAGCCTTATATCACCCTTAGGGGGCTTTACACAAGGGGGGACATACAGCAATATATATTAAAACTCACAAAGAAAACACACACAAAAACATTCCTTCGAACGCACCCGTTATTTTCCATTTTTGGTTATGTCAGAAGTAACTCGAAACCTTGGGGTAAAGTTACGTCGGACAGGACGTAACTTCATTTTTAATTGAGGTAACTTGAATTTCGATTTCAGGTTCCGTGGGATCTAACGCTAGACACAGCGAATATAAAACTGCCTTAAACCACAAACCGTGCGCAGAGAAACATACCCATACTCAAAATAAATAATAAAAGCAAAAAAAAAAAAAAAAAAAAAAAATTGGTCTTTTGGGATACAGTTGAACCTCAATTTAACGAAACCCGATTTTACGGATTTCCCAATATAACGAACACATTCGGATTCCCCGCGCAGCCTGTGCCCTAAGAGTGACTTTCTCGATTTTACGAAGTTCCCGATTTAACGAAATAATTAGCGGGTCCCGGTGACTTCGTTAAATCGAGGTTCAACTGTAGTATAGATACAAACAAAAATTCATATCCTGGGCAATTGACAGACTGTTCTGATAGTAATAAGGGCCTGTTTTAAAAAGAGTGCTTGTCAAGAATTTAGAAAAGGAAAAAAAAAATTATAAAACATCTGGCACACCTATATTTACGCATGCACACAAAGTCAAAACATGGAAGAAAGCACTTCAAACTTACAATGCTATATCTTTATATATATATAAAAAGCACGAGATGGCTAAGCAAACAACATTTTTGAGTATATAGCGATAAGTTTGTGCGTAAGAAAAAACACACAATAACATCAAGATGTACAGAGTATCTTGTTATAATTTTTTTTTTTGTAATCAAACTGTAGGGAATTCAAAGGCTAAATATCTGAGCTGTATTTTATCACAAGTTAGAATTACAAGTTAGAATGAAATTAGAATCACCCAAAATAAAGTAGAGGAGGAATTGCGAGTTCCCTCCTTTTTGGCAGCTCCTCTGCATTTAAGACTGGTTCACACACTTGCGATTGCTGACGACTGGGTGCATTGCGACCTCTCGCGATGTTTTACGATGGGAGAATGCACACAGCAAACGCCATCTGTGAGGTGGCCCTGGAACTGCACTTCACTAGGGCAAAGGTTTGCCGGTATATGCAGGATCAAATGTATGTATCATCTACGAGAAATGGCCATCGGTTTGTTCTGTTAAAAGTTTTTTGAGCCAATAAAAAGACGAGAAAAAGAAATGTAGAGCCCTTTCACTTCATGTGAAGATAGAGGACCAGCGAAGCTGTTATCTTTACGATGCCTAGAGAACGACGTCTAGGACGATGCTCAGAGGGCAATGTCTAGGAGGACCTCAAGGATGACTTGGACAATTTCTAGGACGACCTCAAGGACGACCTCAAGAACGACTTCTAGGACGACCTTGAGGACAATGTCTAGGACGACCTCAAGGACAACTTCTAGGATGACCTCGAGGACGACCTCAAGGATGACTCCTTAAACAATCTCGAGAACAACCTCTCAAGCAGCCTCAAGGACGACGTCTGGGACGACCTCGAAGACGACTTCTAGGAAGACGCCTCGAGAAATTTAGCTTTTCCACTCTGGTGAAAACCAGAGTGTAAAGGCTGGAAAGGTTGCTGCCATCTAAGACAACCTGCAAGCCGATTGTCTGGTTACCGCCGTCGCTCATAGATGGCGGTAGCTGTCCAGAGTTTTGCGGCGACATTTGTTCGCCCGCTGACACAATACTGGGGAAACTAGCCCTTAACAGCTCCGCTATAAAAAAAATTAAACAAGTACACTTTAGACTGCTAAAAGGTAGGAAGGCGAAAGCCAGTCTAGGACGACCTCTAGGACGACCTGAAGGACGACGTTGAGAATGTCTAGGACGACCTCTAGGACGACAAGACGTCAAGAATGACGTCTCGAGCTAATATTAAAAAGACAACGAGAGAAAAAAATGAAAAAATGATGCAAGTACACTTAAGAGTGTTTACGTGTAGGAAGACGAAAGCCAGTCAAGGACGACATCTAGGACGATTTTAAGGACTACGTCAAGAACGCTGCATGGAGGAATACGTCTAGCATGACGTCGAGAACGACGCGTAAAAGAGGACACTTAAGGAGGCTGTAGGGCATCTGCCGTAGATGTAGACGCGGTTGCCTCGAAGTCCATCGCACGAAGCACACAACGAGCACAGATGAAGTCCGAAGGGTACCTTTTGCACACGGCACTCCGGCGATGACATCACGCTGATGACGTATGATGACATCATGCTGATTACGCTTGATGACATACTTTTATGGACATCTTTCGGGAACAATGCTGCCACCACTGATGCCGCTTGTTTTTCATGTACTGTGACAAGTGAGGTCATCCTAGAGTTCTAGGACCACTTCTAGGACGACCGGCAAAATGCCGCCAAGGACAGCATCGCCCTTGAGCATACGTCTCAGCGGCGCGTGCCACGCAATCGCATTCTTATGGCCATTTACTCGAAATTTTCGCTCCAATAGGGCAAGTAAAGCTTTTGCCGTAAAAAGTAAAAAATATATAAGAACCGCAAGCGTTTCACAGCCACTCGATAGATGGCGTCAGCTGTGTTCTCTTGTCGTTAGAGGTTGCGAGAACTCTGTCGCAAGCAACTGAAACTGTGCGAACAAGCCTTGGGATGCGGTGTGCCCCAAGGTTGCCAGAGACGCAAGAACTCACCCTCCGCGCCTTGCTTTGGTAGACGAGCGCTTTCTTGGTGTCTTGCTTGGCAGTCTCAATGTAGTCCCTGGCGTGCTCCACGTGGTACTCGATCCTGTCTATCATCTCACCCTGCACAAACACGGACACGCACATTCCCATGACCGAGAACTCTCCGAGATTGCCAGCGAAAGCTGATAACACGGGGCGCGAATCAAAGGTCGAATTTGGGGGTTTTATGTGCCAAACCAACGGAGGGTATCTGGCATGCCGCAACGGAGGACTAAGAATTAACTTGAACCGCCCGGGACTCTATTGATGCGCAACTGAAATCTCAGTTACGCGTTGTTGCGCCTTCTCTGCAACGAGCACCCCGTCGTATCCCAAGCATCTCGACAGAGATTCGAACCCACCGGCTTGGGAATCCGTAGTTCAGCGCTTTGGCTCTGAGCCACCGAGGTGGCTAGGTCATGAATCATTACCTAAGCTCCGAGCAAGTTTCGAGACAATGTAGCGCTGAATAATAATTAAAAAAAAAAAAATGAGCAGTTTTGTGTTAATCTAGAGTATAGTCACGGCGAAGTAGTTGGGCATCGTCGTCGCGCTCACGCACTGTGTGGTGTGTGAACAAAAGCATTCGGAATCAAATAGACATCTGACCATTTTGTTCTGTACGCATGTTTTTTGCTTGTCCCAGAGCACGTAAATACGCATCTTCCGGCACGAGCTCTTGGCATCGACAGTGCTACGATGGCATTTTGCTATCGGCTATTTCTCTTTATTTCTCCAAAGCGAGCGTTCAGTGGGCATTGGTTACTACAAATTTAGAACGCTTTTGTTTATTTTTTTTCCGGAGTGCATGAAGGCGTGTTTTCCGGCACGCGCTTTTGGCATTAACAATGCTACAACAACTTTGACTGCAAACAGTGGGCATTGGGTACTACAAAAACCCAACGGATAGAGTGGGTTATTAACTCTGTGGCGTAGCTCAGTGGCAACGCCTCTGCTTCGCACAGAGCGGATTCAGGTTCGATTCCCGCGGGGAGCGGGCAATATTTTTTCAAGGTTTGGCAACATCGATAACGGACGCCCTACTACGCCAACTACAACATCAAGTACGACATCAATAACAGATGTCTTTTAAAGTGGTAGGAAAAACCCATCACAGTTATTGCTGTAAAAAAAAAAAAAAAAAAGACTACCAAATGATGTTAACTTTTTCTTCGAACAATGTATGGATCGTGGTGTGAATCGGACAGTGCTGGACCGTTCGTAGCCTCCTCGGAGGGCAGACCGTCATTTGTCTCCCCTTTAACCATGAGCCCTAAGAATGACGGGGAAGCGTTCGACTACTAGGATCGCTACTTTGTAGTACTACAATTTTACTACTTCTCTTCCAGTGTAAGTAAGCTAAAACTAAAAAGAGCCCTTAGGGCAGCAGTAGCTAGGTACTCAAAACGGCACTTTCCTGACAATAGTGCCCATACAAACAATTCCAGCCTCTTCAATATCGCAGGCCCCACAAAAGTTGCAGCCTGGCAGTTTGACGAGAAAAAGAAAAATGCGTACCGAATACACAAGCAGCACAAACTACAAGAGCCAGAAGTCCTCCCACAAAGGGCTACGTAGTTTAGTTCAAAAGTTTTCCGGTAAATCCCCGATGGTGTAAACCAGACCATGTACTGCAAAACTATGGCAACGGTAATCCTTCCTCGGCGTTACTTTGCCGGCCTTCATTCAGCCAGCGGCCGAACTGCACCCCAGGCCTTGTGGCCCGTCTCCTCACCTGACTCTCGACCAACATGGCCATGTCCATGAACATGTCGTGCAGCTCCCGGATGCTCGTCTCCAGCTTGATGATGTCCGCATGGCGGGCCTCAATGTCCGCCAGCGTCTGCTTGGCCTGCTGAGTCTCCATGATGATCTGTGCGCAGGGAGGGGTGCTAGCGTCAAGGGGTGCTCTCCACCGCAAGGCTCGCATAAAGCTAAACCCACGAGCCTCGACGTTGCACGTGAAACTTGATAGCTTGCTTTCTCAGAGTCTCTCCTTAAAGCAAAGTGGAACAAGGTTCCAGCTTTGTTTATATGGATGGCATTCTCTACTGAAACTTTGTCCATTTTTGGTCCTCACTTCCTCGCACTTTTACCTAGTATTCCCGACTGAGCTTGGGACGACCTCCCAGTGTCTGACGTCCTTAAGAAATCCTTTTGGAGGCTTTCAAAAAGCGCTTCAGTTTGCCCTGCTCCATTTGCAAATTTTATTGTTGTTGCCTCGTACATACGCTCTCTGTGTTGCGAGCGTTTACATTTTAGGGCATCGGCTTTTTTTTTGGTACAGCATGTGCAATTTTTTAGGAATTTTCCTCGTTCCTTTGTTTTCCTTTTTTAAGTTCTTGCATTTTGAACTGCTGAAGGTGTTTAATTAAGAAAAACGAGTGGTACAGTAGGCTCGCAATAATTTAAACTTTGATATTTCATACTTCCAATTAATTCGAACAAATTTCAAAATTTTGGTTGTCCCACCATGCTTCAAATGTATTCGTAAGCCGCTTAATTCGAACAGCGTTTTCGTGTAATTCATACTTTTCGTTCTTGCGGCCCCTTTGAGCGTGCTTCTTACCGAGCACTGGTGTACAGTGGAGAAGCAACACCCACAGAGCTTGCTTGCGCGTGTGTCCTTCCCCACAGCACGCAGGTACTCGGTAACAAGCATGCTCCAACGGGCTAGTAGTAGTCCGCAATGAACAACTTTTCTGCAGGATGACCAAACTTAATTTTGTTCTGAGGTGTCATGTGCTGTCTCTACAGTTCACAATAGACAACAATTCTGAGGGATGAATTAAGTTATCTGATACATTTCACCCAGGTACACACTTATAGGGGAAAGTATCTGCTTTGTATATGTAGACATCTATATAACAAATCAACATTTTACCTTACATCATATTTAGACGAATTTATGATAATTCAAACTTCCAATAATTTAAGCAAAATTCGTGGCATCCTGAGGTTTGAATTAATGAGAGTCCACTGTATTTTCAGGATACGGAAATAAATTATAAATGAATCGGGCCGGAAGAAAATGTCCAACTTTTTGCCTTCCAACAACTCAACACTTCTTGAATCCAAGTGGAATCCTGAACTCAAACGAAATTCATACCCAAGTTGAAAACTACAAGGCTATCTTAATTACAAAAGCGCAAAGGACAAGGACAGGACAAGTGCTTTCACCCAAGTAGTTAATTTAAATTCTTCAAGGCTACCCTTTCTACACGAAGCAGTATCTACTAAATGACTGGACTATGTATCGAAAGAGCCTCACGTCTCCGAAGCTCGAAACCACGAGAGTAAGTTGGCTAAATACGCTACGATTTCGCACTAAGTGGTTATCAGAGAGGGTGTCTGTAGGCAAGTGCTCACCCCTTGGGTGAAGATGGCAGGATTCCCGCTCTCCAGCATCTCCTCAAGCTCTTCGTTGGTTGTCATTCGCCCAGCTGCGTGGCAAACGCGAGACACGCTCAGTCGTCTTTCTGCCCTAGACAGCGAGAGCGACTGCCTTCGGCGGAATTGGTTTAGTACAACTCCTTCCTATTATCAATACTGTGAGAAATACCGACCGTGCGCCTGTGTCGCAACGAGTGCCCGCCCGCAGCTTCGGGAATGTTTCAAAACTAAGCAGAGAACACATCAAGTGCCCATCCAGAGTTCTGAGCCCCCCTAGCCAACTGAGGAGGAGCTGCTCCTCGTCAACCCTTTCTCCGAGCGCCCTGGTGCAGAGTGGTGGAGCACACCATTTCGTGTGTCCCTTCTGCCTTTCTACTCTTGGACCTGATGAGTGCCCTTGCCCCAGCTTTTCAAGATTGTTTTCTACTCTGGGTGGGAACTTGTCTCGTATTTCGTGGCACGCAAAAAACTTTGCAGGCCCGTTAATGACAATGATCAAATGGCAAGAGAGGGAGGTGGGAAGGGAGGATCTTGTTTCCAAAACCGGGACAAAGGGAGGGCGCCATGTTTCCAGAAAAGTGGCGATTGGAAAGGTGCCCCGATTGGATTCTATTAAAATATAAGTAATGTCCCATATTATTGTAAACTTTCTTTTTTCATATTTTCTTTTATAGATATTTATCCTAAAGTTTTAAAGAAGTGCCCACTCAAAATTTAGAGATAATCTGGCAAGACTGGGGGGATGGGCACTTCTTAGGTCAACAACACGTGAAGGTATGTCCATTTCGTATTTTCTGAATGTTACAAAATTGAGGGGTGGGCACAGAGTTGGGCAGCAATACTATAAAATGTGTTCCAAAATACAAACACTGGGATACATGATGAAGCCAGCTAAAATACCGATAATGAAACACATCCATACTGAAGCATCGTGACACATACCAGACATACATTTAAAGCATAGGAAAGTATTTAGAAATACAAATAAATTAATTTTAATTTTGCCGAGGCAATCACACCCATACATTTTTCTTTAAAAAAAAAAACTTTTTGAGATGTCAATTTTGGTATTACAGGCAAAAAGTTCCGATATGGAAAACAAAAATGAAATAACCTTTTGCTACCTGTTCTATTTTGTTTAGCAATACCAAATAAAAAGTTAACATATGACTTTGCTGCTAAACTCGGCTACATTTGATGAAAATGAGCTTTTTAAAGAGCTCGTCGATCAGCTGCTGCCGACTTGGGCAAAGAGTCGTGTTAACACGTCTTTCACGGTGGAGAAGTTTTAAACCCTGCAGATATTCTTTTTTTATGCATATGAAGACCTCGCTTGGAGGTAGTAATATGTAGGCTTTGTTGACAGGGTTTCTACTTCTAAGGTGCAAAAAGAGTTCTCCAGTGAAAACAACAACTCTCGAGCCCAAAGGGGGTCTTCAATAGATTTAAGATACTTTCCATGCAGAACGCAGTGCAGTTCTCCTTCAGATATATTGAATGCACTCGAAGCAATATCACACAAACCTCTAAATTTGTTTTATATACGAATATCCAAATATCATGGAAAGTCAGCATCCTCTAGTCCCATGTCGGTGCCATTTCAAGACATCGCCTTGTAATGAAATGGCGTTCTTTTATTTGATGATCTGAAGGAAGAACCTCTCCGCTCGCTCTAGTAAATGGGACTGGGAGTGCAATGTAGATTTGTAAAGCTCGTACACACAGTGCCTCAAAATGTTTTGATTATACAAAAATAGTTGCCCAACTGAAGCACCCTGGGGGACGTATGTTATCTCCGAAGAATAAGGAAGGGAGTCTCCAATTTCGTTGGCATAATGTTCGAAACAAACCTTGGTCTGCTCGATAACAAAGCCTCGAGCCATTTACTATACCCTCTACCCCTTGGAAGCGCGAAAAAAGAAAGGAAACAGTTCCTTGAGTTTTTGCTTGGGGGTCACTGATTTCTCATACATTGTAACAAGATACATTGGCCCGGTATTGTATCCCGGCACAAGGAATACGCCGAAAATGTATTCCGATACTGAAACACAGATACTGGTTGAAAAATTGTACTACGATACAAAAATTTAAATACTAAAAGTATTTCTGAAATACTACCGCGATACCTTTGTATTGCCATACTGCCCAACCCTGGGGGGCGCTTATTGAGATATGGGCAGATGGGTAGGTTTGTTGTTTTAGGCAAAAAGCCCCGATACCACCATTGACTTCAAACAAATAAATAAGGAAAAAAAAAAAAAAACATTAGTGAAGCATTTATACAAACAAAACAGTATAAAAGTAAATTAATAATAAGCAAGTGTGAACATTCACAAGCTGTCAAAAAGCTACCGAAAAAAACAGCATGCCAACTGTGAAACTCTGTAGTGTTGTAACAGATTATAGTACAACAATGAAATCTTCCAAACTTTGATCGTAACTATTACTGCAATTAAGAGGTTAGAATGATTTGTCACTATTAGTATACTACTAATAATTTGGTGCAGAGAGGGGCATACTGCAAGGTGAGAGCTTACTGCGAGAGAAAATATTAGTTTTTAGAAACCAAGCGGCATATACTAGTCTACTTGGCACTCAAAAGGGAGAAAAAGATGACACGAGAAAACATGATATATTACACACATTTAAACTCGAGGGAACCTAATTGACGGATTTGGGTTGTCACAATCAGAACAAGACTAAAAGGAGTGGAAAAAGAAGAAAACAAAATTAAAGAGTGCAGGGCATGACTAGGCTCTAGAAAGAGAAAAGTGGCAAGTCATGTATCGTTAATGAAGCTAGACGGGCACGTGGCTTCAATGCTATTAGGCAGTTCCGCTTCAATGCTGGCATAAAGCCCTGCTCCTCTACATTTCTCGTTGCTTGGCATTGTCATTAGACCCGCCAACAGCAATCAAACTTCAGGCGAAAACTGATGCAGGTTTTAGCGGCCTCCCGCAAAGCTCCCCCACGACCCGAATCGATCGTTCTATGCTTTTGCCACCAGGTGGCACAAAACTTTGGTGCGTGATCATGCAAGTGTGAAAAAGGTTGGGAAAAGCTTTGATAGAGTTGCAGACAGGTTCACGTTACCACTGTTCCTGTCAACGATTTTGTTAATCAGTAAAATGTCGCAATCTCAGCTTAAAGTTTAACATTTACAAAAGAATCTTGCATTCAATTAAACTTGGGTGTTAATTATGCATCCCCAACATTTCATTTCTCAGTAATGAATAGAAAAACTGGACACAACAATACGGTTATTTGGCCAAGAACAAGTTTATACATACCACACAGCTCTAGCTAAGTATGAATGTCTGCATTTTCCTAATGTGACAGTGGTCAGTACAAAGAATGCTTGTATTCTAAGATTAACAGAAGAAACAATTGCATTACAAAGATGCCCCAAGTAAAAAAAAGACCCTAGGGATAAAAATGCTAGTTGGGTTAAGTAAAAAGAACATCAAAAACCACTAAATTTGGAGGTTTTGCATGCCAAAACAAAGAAACACATCTGGCACGCTCCAGCGAAGGACAAAGGATTAATTTTGACCGCCTGGGGATCGTCCAAAGTGCAACCGAAATCTCAATCACATGGCGCCTTGTCCGCTCAAGCGTCCCTCATATTGCGGTCACTTTAGACAGGCATTCAAACCTCCCAACCCGGGATCTGCAGGCCAGCGCTTTGCCTTGGAGCCGGCGAGGCAGCTCAACTTTGAAACGACGAGTGCTGTAGGCACAAAGACGAAAGGGAGAGAACAACATGAAGTGCATTGTGTTCTTTCTCTTTCGTGCACATTTCCCAGAGACAGCTTGATGATGAAGCGAAAACAAAGGAAACTCACTGATTTCTAGTTGCCGCTGAATACGGGCCTTGCACCGCTCCCTGTAATCCGTCTGGGTCTTGTTGTAGTCTGTCATCACCTCCACAAACTTCTGGGACAGCATTGAATGCTGAAAGCAGGAGAGGAAGTCAGCACAGTGCTCACAAGACTGACCAAAGCATCATGAAAGGCAAGGGTGTGAGAAGGTGGCTTGGAGTGTGCTGCTTGCACGAGCATAAGCACAAACCAAGCAGCGGCGAAAATAACACACTTGCGCTCCACGCAAAAAAAAAAATATTGTTTTAAAATTTGAGTTTTGCAAGCAATGAACAAATTGCAACGATATTCCAAAATAGAAAGAAAAAAGAAAAACATTGAGGTACTTGGTTTAAAAATACATACTTAACGGTAGTACATAGTTTAAAATTCAAACAAAATAGAACAAAAAAGATAGTATTTAAAAGAAGATATAAAAATATTTATTTTGGGGTGGGACAACTTCCGTTCTTACCCTATCGGTGATTATAGTCCAATATATAAGGGAGCCGACAACAACAGGTGGTCGTACTGCCGTCTGTATCATCACAAGAACAATCTCGCATCCTCGACGTTTTTTTGTGTTAATGGGGTTTTCAGGGAACCTTCATTCATTAGTGGAACCGGATACTTACTGATCTTGCCCAAAAGTGTCAAGTTATGTTTTAGGCCATTTTCATATTTTTGTACCTTTAATAAGTGAAATGAGAGAGCCAACACAGAGGGGGATGGTGCCTCTGTAGCAGTCTTTGACCTTATCCTCCTAGACTTTTACCAAAATAAAACAACTTTTGATTACAAAAAAAAAATATTGGTTGACTTTAAACTGCACAACAGAAAAACACCAGAAAATTTATGATAAATTTTGTTTTCAGAGTTTTTACTAAACAGTTTTTTGTTTCCAAAAGGACCATGTTGAGTCATGCTCCTTAGGACTAAAAGGCCCCACGCCCAACGAAAGACTAGGCACAATGGGGTTACATTGGGTCCATGTTGAAGATTATTTTTCTCACTTTTAGAAAATAACACTTAATTCAAACATGGCTCGTTGTCTTCGTTACAAGCTACATATAGGAATAAATTTTGTAGTCTTAGACTGTACACCTTGTGATATTTGCCTTGAAAACTGAATATTTGGAATATTTACAATACTAGCAATGAACCAAAATCGAACAATTATGTTCTTGCTTTTTAAAAGTAACACTTCTTTCTAACTTTGCTCGTTTGTTGTGTGTATTCTAGACTATCTATGGCCATTGAGTACATATTTTTAGAACCACCACCTTTACAAGTTATTTCTTTGAAAACTGTTTTTAGGACGATTTTAACACATCTGCACCCTTAAAAACACCCAGAAATGTGTAACAGAAAACATAGGATAATTCCGAAGAATATAATGACCTACTATAACCAGTGTTTACTCGGCAATCTTTTTCAAACTATTTCTGTATCTTTTTTTTTCATATTTTGAGGCTTGTTTTTTTTACAAAACTTAAGATGCCATCAAAAAAAAATGTAAAAAAATAGTTATTGCAACAATATTCAGGAAAAGACGCGTTCACAGTGCCACTAACACACAATTCTTTTAGACCGAATCCGTGAGGGTCGGCCTGGATCCTTTGGTGTGGAACGACACCACGGTCGAACCGTTTTGCGGCACCCAAGCAAGGGAAAGGGGGCAAAGAGTGTGTTCCCACCTGCGTCTTGCGTATCCTGAAGTCTGCGGACATCATCTGCGTCTGCTCCAACTGTTCGATGTTCTGCTCCATGACTGCAGGGGCGAGGGAAGACAGACTCAGAGGCGCATCCCTGACGAAACGGAGCAACCCTCGCTCCCAACCGCCCACTCACCCTTTAACTTGGCTCGCACTTTATTGGCAGTCTTCTTGATGTCGGCCATAAGGTCCTCCAGTTCATGCTTCACTTCTGCGCAAACACGGAAGGCGCAAGTGTTGCAATTCTACGTCTTGCTCAAAAAAAACAAAAAAAAAAACTTAAGAATAAAGTTTTTTTGTTTTTTATGTGCTTCCACAGGATATTTATGCCATAAGATAAACTCTCCTCTAAAAAGGATATCTTCAGAGCGATCTTTATGTTACGAGACACATTGTGAGTTAGGAGTGATACCGAAACAATCTTCTATTTCAGACATCGACTCCATACAGAAGCTTTTAGAATCGCTCACACAATATCACCCCCCCCCCCCCCCCCCCCCCCCGGCCCATTTAAAAAAAAAAAAAGAAAGAATATGTGTTATGACATTTACCTTGCAAAACTCATTTTGAGTTAGGAGCGATTCCGAAGCCCGCTTCCCAATCAACCCTGAATAATTCCTTATTTAAGGGGGGGGCTTCTCTTTTTTACAAATAGCGTTCTTAGTTCGCTAACTTATGAGAACTCACATGCCTGCTGCCAAATGCCACTACAAAAAAAAAAAAAGAAGAGTCTGTGCAAGGCACAAAAAGGTCTGGAAATAAGGGTGAGGTTGAGTCGCATTCTGAAGAATATTTCATAGTTGAAAAGAAGAACCAAACTACAAGCCATCTTTTGTTGGTCAGTGCACAAAAGGCCTTGACAGGTTCATTAATGTTAACTTGCACAGCTGCCTCTGACCTTCTACCTATATTAACAGCATTCATAACTGCCACCATAAGGAGATACAATGACTTCGGAAGCCACGGTCCCTCACAGATACGGCCGACAGATTCTATAGAGCCTGCCAGCCTCGGTTATTTATTTCTTCTTTAGTCAACGATACTGCGGCCTTCCACTGAAAGCCACAGCGAGTGTTAACAATGTTAAAAACGCAAAGAAGAAGCATGAACAACAAAAAGCAGGCTAAGAGAATATGCCATTAAGGGCAGCAAACTTTTCAAGTGATGAAAGAGTTATTATATAATTTTCAAAGAAACTCCAGTCTTGTATTGCCTGGAAACTGCTGCAAGCCCCTAAATTCACAGAAGTTTATGAACTTCAGCCGGTGCTCCGTGAAACGTCGCAAAATTCCAATTGACGTCAAGCAAGAACTTTCGAGCCAACAATAAACTTCGATGTGCACATACTTTCATCTGTCTGTGGCGCAGACAGGATTGCGCTGTGTTTTTTCTTCACTTCTTCCACATTGGCTTGTATCTTGTCGATGTTTTCCCGAATCTCCTCCACCTGAGACAGCAGAAAAAAGACCCGCAGTCAGAAAAGGGGAAACGGACATAGAAAAAACATCCCCCTGGAGTTACCCCATCATTGACGGCTAGTGTTTAGTCATGCAATAGCAATATTTAGCTAAATCCATTGATAAGGTCAGTAGCCATCTTGCATAGAAGCTTTCAAAGGTGAAACGCAAAGGCCACGTGTGCAATGGAATTGTGCAAAGCAGACCGTCATAAAATCCACCGTATACCTCTTTCTACACTTCTCAAACAGTCTTAAAATGACAAAAAGCACTTTAGTTGTACCGTCTCCAGTGGAAACTTTTTATCTCCAATTACATACCACACTTTGTAAGCTTCCAAGCATGCACACACACTCACAATGTTAAGACAGCATGCTCACGTTGGGAGACGAGCAAAAGACCATCTCCATCATTCTTATCCCGTCAGTGGCTGTTGTGAGCAAAAACCAACACACAAAAAGAACGGTACAGATCATGATCTGTACCGTTCTTTTTGTGTCGGTCTCCGAATTCAGAGGTCTGTCCTTGCACGACCTACCATATTGCACGAGCCTACTCGAGTGAAAATACTTACTGTGAGAATTTGTGGCATAGTGTCAAGGTACTCTCAGCATGGGCTCGGAGCAAAACTTCGCACTCAGACTTGTATTGCTTAAGATATAAGCTCATGAATGATAAATGCCTGTTTTAAAGTTGGGTGGGTTTTATGCCAACACTCCAGCGTAGCCCTGGGAGGGGCTCACTGCAAACAGGTTGCGTGTCTTGGGTCTCTCGCGAGTCATGTAATTCAACAACATGCTCCTAAAATTTGTTAGCATGGTGATAAAGCATGCCATCAGCTTCACTCTCCAGATGGTGTAAGAAATATTTGATGAAATCAAAGGTAAATATATATCTTACCAGTTTCTGCATTTATTCACCAAAATCCCAGACACTTGTGCCCTAGCAGTATAGGTATATTTGATTTTGATTTCATCTTTAATTTCTTGCAGAAAATGCTAAGTACCGTAGAATACCGCGCATCCGCCCATTCCACATTAAGCGCCCATTACCAAATTTGTAAGATCTCAGAAATACGCACAGTACATTTATATGTAAAATTGATGACCGGACAAGCGCCCATCCCCCATTTTTTGGTCGATTATCTCTAAAGTTTGAGTGGGTGCTTGCCCGGTATTTTACGGTAATTAATCATTTCCATTGTTTCGCAACCATAAATGGTGAGCATAAGGACTGCACAACACAGTCAGCAAAAACATAACACCCATGCTTGTTTGTGTTTAATTTTGCCATATTTCCAGCAAACAATGCATTTTATCACCCAAAATAACTGCCTCCTAAGAGCACATCTCACCACACTACTACTCTGGACAACAGCATTTCCTCTGCATCAAAAACACAGGAAAAATGGGCTGCTAGGATTCTCTGTACAAAGATCTTAATTATCTTGGTTGCCTTTAAAAAAAAAAAGTAGTATGAACTGCAGATAACATTTAATGACATCCCCTGCCTAAGGACTGAAACAAATCTTTAAGGGCCTCAAGGAGAGTGTGACAGTAATCTTATCAGGCAGCCCTGCAAAGCAGTGTGGTGGTCGCAGGAGCAGTATCACTCAACATTGCCAGACAGTTCTCAGTGCTGCCAGTCACACTTGGCGTTCATGCAGCTGAGACCAGTGTTGCCGTCTCAAAAATAAAACACCCGCGGTAGGATACCCGAGAAATTACAAAAAATTGCTATATTTCCATTATAGTCTAAAATGGTACAATAAATAAAAGAGCCCTTAGAAGGAAGCTACATTGTTTGGCGCAGATCGCTAATGTGCACAGAACAATGACCACTGCACAATCTAACTCTGTTTTGCCACACCTGAAAACTGACACCGGCGTCATTTCGATTTCTAGCCCAATATATGGTGGCAGTTCAAAGCTTCAGTGATCAAATTCACATGCTTTGCAAAAAGTTCAAATTTCCAGGGTGTTCGACTTGTCTAAAGTCGCCTGAAACTTCCAGTAAACAGTTTTGATGCTTAGAATTCTAGAGCCCCCATGTTTTATTAATTTTTGAGCATGGTTTATTGAACCTATTTCATGTGGCAGACTTGGAAAATGCATTTGTACATTCATGCGCGAATCAGTTGAAACCATGTTTTGAGGTTTGCCATCTTAATATCCCAACGCATTTGTTGCCCTCACTGACAACAATGTTACTGGAAGTAAGCAAAGATGACAACTACAGGACTAACTTAACCCAGAAGGTAAGTTATCCGTGTATCATAAAAGTAAACTTAAAACATTTTAGACTGTCATAAAAAATGCTCACATGACTTGAAAGCCGCCAAATATCCCGCCACCCGGAAAGAGACCATTTCTCCTGCTAGATGACTCAGAAAACTGCTAAAGTTAGTGGGAAAACTGCTAAATTGGCAACACTGGCAGAGACTGCAGCTATAGCTACAAAATTGCAGAGGGGAAGCAAATTGGCTTAGAAGGGCGAGGGGCAGAGCCATACTTTTGGTTTTTAGTTTCTAGGCTAGGTGGCGCAAGCTATTGCCCAATATAAAGGGTACAGCCGTTGGCATCCGTCTATCCATTCACACGGAGAGCCAACATTTTGCCACGAAACAGGTCAGGAATTTGCTCGAAACAGACATGTCTTTCCATGTGGCAGGCCAAGTAATCCTCAATGCACACGCATAAATGTCTTTTTCATCTGCAATCTCGATGAGTATGGCCAAGTGAGAAACACCCAACTCACCTCTGCAAAAAATTCGTCCATGAAGCTGGCACCATCTTCAACCGTGACCGAGACGTCATCTTCTCCTTGCGCCTAGAAGAACACAAAGGGGAAATTGTGTCAGTCTTCTCACTTTACAAATTTTCCCCCTAACCTACAACGAAACCAACTAAGTCGTATCCCGAAACTACACCGAGAACCTGATGTTCAGAGTTGAAATTATGAAAGAAGAAAATGCGTTGACAAGACACGCAGGAGAGCAGTACGGAATGAAGAACACATTGACCAGTGTCCCTCATAATTAAAGCTTTTTGTTGTTGTTGTTGTTTTTTTTGTTTGTTTTTTTCACATTAAGTGGTTATCTTTTTGGGGGTTCATTTTATCTCGCAGATTCACCATTTTTTCTGTAAGTTGGTTAAGCTATAACCAATTTACACAAAAAACACAAAATATACCCCCCTCTCTCTCAAGAAAAAAAAACTCCCCAAAAAAAGAAACACAAAAAAAAAAAAAATCCAAATTTCGAAAAAAAAAAAAAAAAAAAAAAAACTCAGTAAACAAGGAAGCCTATTTATAATGCACCAATCTCATAACATTCCCTAACCCTACATCAATGCTGAACACGGGCTTTGGTTGTACAAGGTCATCGGAGCTGTTGGCTTCAATGACTTTGTACAAATCAATGCCAGTTTGAACTCGTACAAGGACACCTGAGTACGATAGAAATCTGACAAACGCTCTGTGAGAAAATTCAAAGCTGGGAACTGCTCAAGGAATTCTAATGAAGGTTGTCAGAAAGGATTAGTTACAGACAAAAAGTCCATATGCTAATGCTGATTTTAGAGACTGGAACAGGTAAATCATGGTGTACAAAACACATTGATGAAAGTAATAAAAAAAAATCTGCTAGCCTTGTTTGTTTTGTGTACCATTGACATATGCATGATAAAAGGTCAATTCCATTTGCACTTATTATTTGAGATTGATTCATTGATTGCTGGTGGTTTACAGCACATCAGCTCAAAAAACACACATGCACATGAGAAAACATACACCTGTCTGTGCTTAAATACTGCATGGCTTCCTAATAACTCAGCAAGGGGGATAAAAAAAAAGTGTCAAAGCTAGGAAAGGTTAGAGGATAGATAATAAAATGGCCGAGGACCTATTGAGCACGGAAAATACCTTGTACAGTACAACCTACATCGGTGGGAGATAGTTTTTCAGTGTTTGGTAGATATAAAAATTGGTGCATATTTTCAGATTCATTTCAGCGGTGGTTTAGGAACAGGGAGCTCGAATAGGTCATTTTCGAGCTCATTCTTCGTGGAGTTTTTACTGGAAATCCTTGAGGGCTGTTCCTTCATTTCTCTCTCTTTCGTGGTGTTAGCGCCGTCCGCGAGCAAAACACAATCGTCGCCGCACGCACGAACCACACCCAAACAACGCACACAGAGGTGACATCACCGCGAAAAACAAACAGCCCGGCACGCAAGTTCCGGATAACAGTTGTCAGACTTGACGTTGCAGTACGTGGAAAGAAAGACATGCCACCACGCACCTTTTTACTATTTTTTTTTTCCCCATTCTGAATTCCGAAAGGAAGATTGCACGCACTCAAAACATCGTACGATGAAACTCGGAAAAAAAAAAAAAAAGAGAGACGGCTAAACTGTTGTACGTTATTTTCTCAGCTGTTTTTTTTTTTCCCATACGTTTTTTTTTTTTTTTTTGTTCATTTGCTTGGGGAGTTATTTCGCCTTGCCGTGTGAATCAATAAACGGGCAACAGGAAGAGGTAGTACGCGCCGGTCAAGCGTTTCTCGACGTCAGGCACCGAAACACCGCACTGCCCAAAAGCTGAAGGAGTTCGCCCGGAGAGGCGTCCGTGAAGACGGGGAAGGGCGAGGGGTTATCGGGCAGTGCTGTAACTAACGCCGCCACCGAGCTTATATTTAGACCGATGACGGCAACGTCCTCACAGCCGCCAAAGCTCCAATTAGCGTCAGGAGGTAATCGAATTCACGGAGGGGACCATCAGAGCGGGCCACGACGCATAAGTAAAGGCCGCCCCCACACCGCCTCCATGAATGGAGGGCAACCACACTACTACACACATACACACAGCGTGTCTGTGTGTGCGCGTGCGTGTGTGAAGAAAACAGCGAAAGAAAAAAAAAAAAAAGAGAACCTCCATTCACACATACCAATTCCTGGCGTTACCATTAAAAAAAAATAAATAAATAAACGTGTTAGAGATTTAACGACGCGGAGACCGACCTCGTGAGAGCTTCGAAGTTACGTCAATTTGTACGCCCTTCGACCACTTTAACTTCGATCCAACGTCTTTGCGTAGAAAAAAAAAGGAAAGAAGAAAAGGGGGTGGAGGAACGTCACGCCGTGCATTGCGGGCTTAACGAACTACCCCCTCCCGTGGTCGTACCCCCACCGCCGTCGACGACCGCTAGAGACGAAGAACAGACGAACCGTTCGGTACATTTTTGTTTTTGTTTTTACGGGGGGCCGATATCGGGATTGAAAGTTACGTGCTGGGTCATCGCGACGAAGTGGCGCGCCCGGTCGAAATCAGTCAAAATAGCCGATCGTGTGCGTGCTTTGCTTCGTCCCCCTCGAAAAGCTCTGATGAGCAACCCCCCACCACGATTGTAGGCTTAAGCACCTCGCTGGCCGCGTCAAAAATATTGATTCATTTTGTTTTTGGGGCGTCCCCTTGCCGTCGCCAAAGGCCGACGTACGACGGATCGACGCCAAGCCGAGACTTCCTACGTACCCTCCCCAAAAATAATTAAAAAAAAAAGAGCACCGACGCGGAAACCACCCTACTCCGTCCGACCCTCGCCGCCGTCGTCAGACTGCCTCTTTTCTTTTAGGAATTCTTTTATTCCCCGTACGCGGTGTTTGTGCCCCTGTCGCACGTAGTAGTGAGTAACTACGTGCGTGTGTTTCGCGAACACCGCGGCAGCCGTATTCCTTGAGGAACAACCAACCCAATCCGCGGACGCAATGTGCTCGGCGGTCGGGCCCGCCCGGCCGTCCCGTGCTTTCGGGCCGTTCCCTTCGCTGAGAGCCCGAGCAAGAGTTTCTCGAGGTGTGTGTGTGCGTGCGTGTGCGAGTGCGAGCAGCGCAGTGCCGGACGGAGCCCCGAGCCACAACCCGCCCCAACGCGGCTCGCTGTTGCGATTCCTGGGGAGTGAGCTCACCGCTTTGAGGGCGGCCAGTCGGTCCTTGGTCATCCTTGATAGTCTAGCGAGGTCACAAAGTAGTCCACGGGCTCGGCACTTTCGACTAGTGTAACACACACGGGTGATGAAGACGGCACGTTTCCATTTTGGCCAGCGAAGACATCACCGCACGGAAAAAACTACTGCACTACTCCCTCCTCTGCAGATCGATTTTTGCAGGCACGGCCGACCGAGAATCGCGGAATCGCGTCTCAACAGCAGCGCCCCCGTAGTTTCATTCAGCGATAGGGTGTGCAACAATCCCAACGGTCCCTTTTCGACCGGCGGCGGCGTCGCGGTCGTGGCGGTCGGTGCCGGCGAAGGAATCGGCGGCGCGGCGCCGGATATTCCTGGGTGGCGGCGTTCGACATTGGCGCGTAATTCAAAGTGAGGCACCAGTGTGGGCATCTTACTTCAGTATGTCGTGTCTCCTTCCTAGTCCCGCCATCGTTTTTTGGGGATCCTTTACAGCGCAGTTCACTCAAAGCATCAAAATTGAATGCTCATTTTGTGACGCACCCTTCTTAAAACTACTTCCGCACGAAGTTTCGAAATATACGGGAACGCAAGAAATTGGGCACTGACATGGTCACGATTTGTTACTTGCATAGTAAGCGGAGACACGGAACGATGAAAAAGCCGAAAAAGCAACAAGCCTCAAACACAGCTTTTAGTTTTACCAGAGTTGAAAGCTGGGGTAGTTGGTGTGGGCTAAACATAATGTAGGTAAAACAGCGCAGAATGACAAAGACTAGAGCGAAGGAACAACCAAGAGGGAACAGGCGCTGACTCGCAGCTAAAGGTTTTATTACAGAAAACATCAAAAGTAAGCAAGTAAGGCAGCAATCTAAACATATGCCAACCTTTCTGCCTCATCACATAGGGGAGGGCACCCGCCATCCACGTGCCGCGTGCCCCCCCCCCCCCCCCCCCCCCCCTTTTTAATTTTTTGTTTTTTGTCAAAGTTAAAAACAACATCTCTTCCACAGATAGTGTCGCCGATAGCTCGCTGATGCACTGCGCCCCGCTTTTCGCTATGTAAAAGGCCTCCATCCCCTCCGTCGTCACTTTGTCTTTGTGCCTATCATCAAGCGTGGTATCCTCGAAGGACGGCTTGCATAAACAGCTCTTACAGTGCACCGAAAAACGTCCTCCGATCGTCACTCTCTGTGAATAGTTGTGTTCCCTGAGCCTATCATATAAGCACCTCCCCGTTTGTCCAATATACACTTCACCACACGAGAGGGGAACCTTGTATACCACTCCGGAAACACAGCTCACAAACGGCTTTGCGTGTTGTTTGTTTCGCACTGCTGCCTTGGTCCGAACCCTCGAACATATATGGCTCGAATCCCGGAGAAAAGCTCACCGGAGAAAAGCTCACCGGAGAAAAGCTCACCGGAGATAAGTTCACCGGAGAAAAGCTCACCGCAAAACCGGCGGATGCGGAGAAAAGCTCACCGGCCATTGAGCGAATGCGGAGAAAAGCTCACAAATCTTTTTTTGTTCTTTTTATATGGAGGCTGTTGGATCATACGCAACATATAACAATTTATTATCATTAAAATTCGTCAGCTTTGTAAAAAAGAAAATTTTCTTTTTTGTATTATTTGTTAAGCTTATTGGGTATATTGCTCCCAAATTAATAATAGCGGGCGAGTGTTTTCTGTCGCTTACTCTCTAGGGAACGAAAACCTAACTGAAAACTTTATAAACTTGAAGAACAGGAAAAAGTTTGAAAATTTAGTAATAGCTGCCTAAAACCTAAAAATGAAAACTGTAAATGCCGAAAATCCGAAAGTGCATGCACAACAATGCGGTGCCTGAAATTCTTTTTGAAGCTTTTGTTAACCTTTGAAAACAGGATAAAACAATCAGTAAGATATCGAGGCTTCTTTCTTCCACGGACGTGCACGTTTTCTACACGATCGTGCTGGTGTTTCCACGCGTTACCTTGGTGTGATATTGCCCTTCTACTGCGAGATACCCATGACCTTCAGACCGGCACACTGGCACCGTTGTTTCTTGTGACCCATATAAGAAGTAGTCTTCTGAAAGGTAGCGAATAGGGCGAGTTGGTAAACGTTATGCATGATGAAAACCGCTCAAACGACGACGACGGAGCGAAGCTGTTCTTGCAACTAAAGTTTTGTTAGTGAAATTAACAGAAAGAAAACAGCGTAGCCGACACTGATTACATTAACAAAAACCTACTTATCTATTAGGTACTATAAATATTTGGAGCTGAAACGATTCACACACCGCTATTCATATTAGCTCGCAAAGAACAAACCTCTTTATTTGACAGAGCTACCGACGGCGCACTGTCAGTAGTCAATAAATTGTCTCTTTTTCCGGTGTACGATGTCCTCATTTTATACTTGCGGCTTCATTAATATAGAGAATGGATGATTACTAATTTCGGAGGAATTAGCAAATATGCCCAATGAACTTCAAGAATAATACAAAAAAGATGACATATTTTTAATGAAGTGACGAATGCGAATTGTGTTAAATTGCCACGTTTAACGCAGAATCCGCTAAATTAAAAAAAAATGGTGAGCTTTTCTCCGCATCCGCTCAAAGGCCGGTGAGCTTTTCTCCGTATCTGCCGGTTTTGCGGTGAGCTTTTCTCCGGTGAGCTTATCTCCGTTGAGCTTTTCTCCGGTGAGCTTTTCTCCGGTGAGCTTTTCTCCGCCGCCCAAATGGCTCAACACTAACGCATGTGGCTGAGCAGCCACATGCGATAACAGGCCACTCAAGCACAACTGTTACTAGTCCTGTAAAACCCACAAATCAAGGCCTTAAAGACATAAAAAAAACGCCTTATATCACTATCCAATGCCAAGGACGAATCTCGGAGAAAAAAAGCTCACCGAAAAACCGGCGGATGCGGAAAAAAGCTCACCTATTGTTTTTCTTATTTTTATATGAGGCTGTTGGATCATGCGTAACATCAATTTATTATCATTAAAATTCGTCAGCTTTGTAAAAAAAGGAGTGCCCTTTTTTGTAATATTTGTTAAGCTTATATGGTGTGTTGTTCCCAAATCAATTATTGCGGGCGAGTGTTTTCTGTGGTTTACTGTCTAGGCAACGAAAGCTTCGCTGAAAACTTTATGAACTTGAAGAACAGGAAAACCTTCGGAAACTTAATAATGTATGCTTAAAACCTAAGAAGCAAAACTCGAAATGCTGAAAATACGAATGCGTGCGGAACAACGCGGTGCCAGAAAGAATTTTTGAAGCTTTTTTAGCCTTTGAAAACAGGATAGAAAAGTCAGTAGGATATCGAGGTTTCTTTCTTCTACGGACATGCACGTTTTCTATCCTGTTTTCAAATGTTAACAGAAGCTGGAAGGAGAATTTCAGGCACCGTTCGTGCTGGTGTTTCAACGCGTTGCCCTTGGGTCATAGTGCTCTTCTGCGTCGAGCCACCCATGACTAGAATGACCATATTCCTCAAGGTGGAAAACGGGACGTGCTATATCTTCTACACAGGGGCGGATGCAGGAATTTCCTGAGGCGGGGGGGGGGGGTCAGGTGTTGGTCAGCGTACCGTATGTTTAGGAACCCCCTCCACCTCTCCCTCGTTTAACGCCCTAAATTTCACACACGCAGAAATCAAGAGGGGGGTCAGGACATCCGGAGCCCCCCTCTAAATCCGCCCCTGCTTATACATTCGTGCTATCAATAACTGAAAAAAAAAAGAAAAAAGAATCTACACACGCGTTTTCGCGAGAAAAAAGAAGTTTTTTTTTGGCAAGAACAGTTTTAAGTTTTACTCTCTGGGTAAATATTTTAAAATACCTACGGTTACTTTTGTAAAATATACTTGTAACGAATAGGCACAGTGTTTTGGTTTGATTCTACTCGGTTTGTGCCAATTTCGAAACTATGTACTCCTGCGAAAATGGGACATGATTCTATAATGGGATAAAAAGACGGAACGGCAGAAGTGGACCTCAAAAACGGGACGTCTGGTCACCCTACCCATGGCCTTCAGAGCTGCACACTGTCGAGGTAGCGATTTGGGCGAGTTGTAAAACATTATACATGATGGAAACCTCTCGAACGACGAAAACGGAGTGAAGACAACCAACACGACAGGACGAAGCTGTTCTCGCAACTAAAGTTTTATTAGTGAAAATAACAGAAAAGAAAACCGTATAGCCGATACTGATTACATTAACAAACACCTACTTATCTATCAGGCTTATCACAATCTTCGGCGCTGAAATGGTTCACAGTTCACACACCGCTATTCATATTAGCTCGCAAAAAACACAGCTCTTTCTCTGCAAGAGCTACCGACGGCGCACTGTCAGACTGTCAATAAGTTATTGTCTTTTTTACGGGTGTCCGATGTCCTGATTTTATAATTGCGGCGTCATTAATACACAAAATGGGTGATCACTAATTTCTGAGGAATTAGTAAATATGCCTAATGAACTTCCAAGAATATTACAAAAAAGAGGACAATTATTTTAATGATGTGACGAACTTTAATTGTGTTAAGTTGCCACGTGTGACGCACAATCCGCTAAATAAATAAAAAATCGGAGAGTTTCTTTTTTTATTTTTTTTTAATTTGTTCAACGACCGGTGAGCTTTTCTCCGCATCCGCCGGTTTTGCGGTGAGCTTGTCTTCGCCTCCCGCCGAGGACGATGTGCTTACATAGTTGCCAGAGAACAAAATACGCATGGTCTTCTACTGCCCTTTTATGTTCCAACGACCAGTTCGCCAAACATAAAACAACCCACACCGGAACGGAATGTCGGACACCACTCCTACCTGACAAGTTACATCTTGAATTCTATGCTTTTTTTTTTTTCTGGCACCCTTGAGGATTATTCGAAAAGGAGGTTAAGCTTTCTAATATGTGATAAGCTTTGAAAATTAAATTTACACCGAACCTCTTTTCCACTGATTTAAAGTTATGAGAGATTCTATGGTAGGGAAGCACACAGAAAACATTCTTCACCACCGGTTTTTTCACAGAAAGCGAACTAAACCTTCCAAATGCCCTGAGCCCAACTCTAACAGTTACATCCTGGTGAATGCCCGCTTCCAAAAGACGCAACTTTTGAAACTCAAGTGCCTCTTCAGCCCAATGCATACAGGACCTATTAAAGACGTTATCCATCACAGACACAATTACACACCTCTTAACTATTTTCGAGTGACAGCTGTCAGCTGCCAACAAAGGCCTTCCCGA